TTATGCAATAGATATTAGGGCCATGTAGTCGTAATTTTAAAATCTGAAAATAAAGGGTAAAAACATATTTTCACCAATTTATTTATTTAAAGTAGCTAGCCTATCATAGGGAACCCGAAAGGGGCGTCGTAAGGGAGCTAACACTTCCCTTACACGTAACTAACTCCCTTACCCAACTCTGGTTCTAATGACCAAAGTTGGTTTTTCAAACACCAACTCCTTTTTACTCTTTTTCCGATGTTTCCGGTAAAAACATCGGTGGCGACTCCAGAAGAACCCTTCAAAATTAGTTCTTGGGTTAGCCCGGTTATCGGACAATCCAAGAACGCCTTTTCGAAAACCTCGCCTCTAGGTTCAGCCCGGTTATCGAACAATCTAAAGGCGTTGTGACCACACCAATAAAAACGCGAAAATTGGAAAGTTGGAACCATCGCGTCGCTCCGACCGCCTCGTTTTGACGGCGGCGACAACTGAGTTGATTGTAATTTGTAAACTGAATTTAAAAGATAGTGAATTGGGGTCACTCTTGTGTTAAGAGTTGACTGGGAAATGGATGTGTGTTTTTCTCTTCCTTATACCTTTGTGATAACATCAACTTATTTTCTTTCCCTTATCTCTATGATTATATCACTTCCGCTATATCTGTTCAATTTGATAATTAAAATTGAATTAATAAATATTGGACATCTTAAAATAAATTTTTAATTTGGCATTTATTTAATTTGTGCATTGTTGCCGCCGTCAAAACGAGGGCGGTCGGAGCGACGCGATGGTTCCGACTTTCCATTTTTCGCGTTTTTATTGGTGTGGTTATAACGCCTTTAGGTTGTCCGATAACCCGGTTGAACCTAGGGGCGAGGTTTTCGAAAAGGCATTCTTGGATTGTCCGATAATCGGGCTAAACCAAGAACTAGCTTTTGAAGGGTTCTTCTGGAGTCGCCACCGACGTTTTTACTGGAAACATCGGAAAAGGAGTTAAAAGGCGTTGGTTTTCGAAAAACCAACTTTGGTCATTCGAACCAGAGTTGGGTAAGGGAGTTAGTTACGTGTAAGGGAATTGTTAGTTCCCTTACGACGCCCCTTTCGGGTTCCCTATGATGGGCTAACTAATTTGGATAAATAAATAAACCGATGAAAAATACGCTTTTACCCTTTATTTTGCGGAATTTAAAATTATGACTACATTGCCCTAATTTCTATTGCATAATTAAACTTAAAGCGGTAAAAATAGAGAGAGAGAGTGAAAACCTCTGAAGCAAGCTTTTCTATTAATCTTTTGTAATTAGGGTGCTTTTTGGCAGTCCTTCACTCTTTACAGTGCCGAAATCTCTCAAAACGCTATAAAATACTCTAGAAAGCTCTCAGAAACTCCGGAAATGCTTCGAAGGGGTTCTAGAAAGAAAATTTGAAGAAAAGTCTAGAGAGAGGATGGAAGAAATGTGGGAAATGAGGGGAATGTCGCTCCTATTTATAGGGATTCGTGCCTGTCAGGTCGAGACGGGCCGTCTCGTTTGACAAGGTCGAGACGGCCGTCTCGCCATTCGCGCAAGGCGAGACGGTGGTCTCGAATCTGAGACGGCGGTCTCGACCTTAAAAGGCGAAAATCCTTATTTTTGGGCCAAAAATCCCTCCTATTCTAGTATGGGGCCTAATAGTCTCTCCTAGTGGCTTCTTAGGCTTCATCCATCTTCGAATAGAAGGTCTTCTGATCTTTATTATGAGGCCGGGAAAGATTAGGGGTCTACATGCATCTATTCACCCCCATCTATATGCCATTTGTCTAACATCCTTTAATTTCTTGTATTTAGAAACATATTTTTGTCATTTAGTCATCATTTTGGTTACGACAAATACCTAATGTTAATGGGTAAGAATTGTACATACTTTATTAACCTATCTATGAAAACCAATATGAAATCAAATTTTTGGAATTGTTTATGGTAAGTTAACTACAAAATCCATTGTTATACTATTTCATTTTCACTCAGGTATATCTAAAGATTGTAGAGTTCTTATTAGTTTTTGATTTTCTATCTTAGCTTTGTGACAAACTAAGTTTATTGATACATATTGTGCTACTTTTTTCTTCATCTTGGGCCACAATAAATTTTTTAAGATCTTGATACATCTTTGCTGTTCACGAATTATGTTCCATTTTCTCTTATGTGTTTCTTCTGAAATCATCTTCTTAGTCTCCACATCTTTGGACATACATATCCTACCATTAAATCTCAAAATCATGCCCTATCTATGCTAAAATCTCCTATATTCTTTTGTCTTATCAAATTCTTATTATTTTGAATGAATTCATCACTTATTTGAGCCCCATGAATTTGCCTTTTTAAGTTAATAATAATATGAATTGAGTTTAATTTCATTTTATAAGAGCTTATTATAATTGACAAATCCATGTCTCTGCATTTTTCTAGCAAACTTATCTTCTAAGTTATCAATGAGGAGACATGTAGGAATTTTCTACTTAAAGTACCTACCACTACATTTACCTTTCTTGGGTGTAATGTAATTCAAAATCATAACTTTCAAAAATTTAATTCATCTTCTCTATCTCATATTTATCTCCTTTTGATCAAACAAGTATTTAACATTCTTATGATCACTAAAATTCTTGAACTTACTACCATATACATAATGTCTCCATATTTTGATTGTAAAAACAATGGTAGCTAGTTCTACATAATGGGTTGAGTAATCTCTTTCATGCGTTCTTAATTGCTTAGAAGCATATGCTACTACCCTCCTATATTGCATAAGAACACATCCTAATCCCATTTTGTAAGTCTCACAAAATATCAAAGTTCCTAATAGGATTGGATAATGCTAACATAGGAGAAGTGGTTACTCTTTTTTTGAGTTTTTGAAAACTATTCTCGTATTTTCCTGTTCATTCAAAATTTTGACCTTTCTTGGTGAGTTGATTTAAAAGCATGACTATTCTAGAAAATCCTTTAATGAATCTTTTATAATATCTCGACAAACCTAGAAAGCTACAAATTTCAATCATTATTCTCAGTGGATTCCATTGTAATTTTTTTTTACTTTGGTTAGGTCTACAAATACTCTTTCTTTGGAAATTATGTATCCCAAGAATTTTTCTTTCTCTAACCAAAATTCACACTTAGACAATTAAGCGTATAATTGTTTATCTTTCAAAATTTTAAGACTAGTTTGAAGGTGTTCTTCATAGTCCTTAAGTGTCTTAGAATAAATAAGAATGTCATGCATAAAAACAACTACAAAATGGTCAAAAAATGGATGAAAAATCTTGTTCATATAATCCATGAATATTGTAGGAGCATTAGTCACACCAAAAAGCATAACTTGATATTCATAATGACCATATTGGTTCTAAAAGCAATTTTTTGTATGTCTTGTACCTTTACTTTAATTTGATGATATCCCAACCTTAAATTTATTTTAGAAAATGCATAAGTTCATCTTAATTAGTCCATCAAATAATATATTATAAGGAAAAAGGTGTTTCTCCTCTATAGTAAATTTATTTAAATAACAATAATCTATATATAACCTAAAACTTTCATATTTCTTCTTGATTAACAAAACAAAATCTTTTCAAGGTGAGACATTAGGATGAATGAACTATTTTTTAAAGTAAATTTTCTAATTTTTTATTCAACTCTATTAGTTCACAAGGTGACATCTTATATAATGATATTAAAATTGGTATAATTCTAGGCATCTAATATTGAAAATTTAATTTTTTTTGTTGGGTGGCAAACCAAGAATTTCATTGGAAAAAACTTCAGGAAATTTTTTAATAAATGTTATATTTTTCAAATTGACTTCCTCTTTTACTTGCATAAAAGATAATAACAAATATCTTTTAACTTCATTCTCTAAGTGTCTGCTTATTGAGTTGGTAAATAAATTTAAATAATTCTCATAATTTGAAATTTTTATAGATTTTTTTACATAATTCGAAGGACTTGATTGATAGATAACTAATCTATCCCTAAGATCACATATAGTTGCAACAAAAATAGATAAATTAAATTTATAAGAAATTTTTTATTATCAATAGGCAAAGGACAATCTTTATTGCACCACAAGAAATTTCATAATTAGCTACAAAAATTTGTTACAAAATTTATTTTTCACTAATTTGTAGCTAATTAGCTATGGAATAGTGAAGAAATAAAGTTGTAGCTAATATGTAGTAAAATAGCTAGAAAATAATATTTTTGTAGTTATTCCCTCCCTAAGTAGAAAAATAATTTAGCTAGAAAATTTTTTTATCACTAATCCCTAGCTATAAATATTAACTATGTTATTTTTTGAAGCTATTTTTTAGCTAAATTATATAACATATAATTATAGTTAAATTGTAGTAAATTTATAGCAAAAAAATAATTATAAAATTATTTAAAAATTATTTTTACCAAATTTACTATAATATATTAATTATATATATATATATATATATAAATTATTTGAAAATAATTATAATTTTTTTTAAATATCTAAAAAAATTGATAAATATTAAAAATTATTTTCTGCAAATTTTTTATAAATTTAAATCGGTAGGAAGTATTTAATAATTTAAATTAATAGAAAATTTTATAAATAATTTTTTTAGAAATTAATATTTATAAAAAATATTATTATATTAAAATATTTATTTAATTAAATATTATTTTAAATATAAACATCTTTAATATAATTATAAAAAAAATTAAAATTAAATTTTTTTTAATAAAAATATTACGTTAATTTCTTTTTTCCAAAATTTCCATCCCGCTCCAACTACGTCTCCTTCTTTCATTTTCAACTAAGAACTAAATTGTATCTCCTTTCATTTTCAACTAAGATCTAAAGTGCATTTGTTTTCGCTACCGCTACCGCTGCCGCCGCTCCCATTGTCGTCGCTCCCGCTACCTGTTGTCGCGCCATTGCCGCTGCCCTACTGCGCCGCTGCCAGTACAGGAATCAATTGGTTGAATCTCTTCAGAACAGGATACAAAATGAGGTTTGTGTCTATAATTCTCTTTCTAATTAGGTCATTTATCTCTGCTAATGATGCAGAAATATGACATTTATTTTCTGATATTTGTGTATATTGTATCCCTATGCAAACTGGGTTTTCTATTCTCCTTCAAGATTTACATATAAGTCATCGACTTGTTTGGTTCTGACCATGACAACGTGGTTGGTGCTACAGGTAGGCATACAACTAAACTGCTGTTAGATGGTGGAATCCTGGCACACATTTTTGTGATTGTCTCTGCCGCAGCTGCCACCGCTGCCTCTGCCGCTCACAGTATAGTTTTGGATTAACTGCATTTTTGTGATTGTCCTCTGTCCCTCTCTTCCTACGTGGTTTGTTTTGGGCCTAGTGTTACAATGCCCACGATTTTGGAATTCCACTCAAGATCAAAGGATGGTCCCTAACACATGAGCCCACAAGATGTTTTGATCATTGCCATGTGTTGTAATCTCAACAGTGTTTTCAGTACCTTTTCTATTTTTTTATTTAGTTTCCTTTTCAGATATTTCCTGGCTCCAATGCTGGTGTGGTGATTCATGAGAGTAGATTTTGTTCATCCTTCACTTTGTTGTACACAAGAGCTGTAGTTGCTGAGTTTCCATCTGAGCTTCTGTCTATCCCTAGCCTTGTGGTTTTGAAACCACTAGAACAAATTCTTTCCCTCTATCCTGCCGTAGAAAGAAAGGTGTGTGGTTCCTTTTGTGTCTATTATAAATATGATTTAATTTTTTATCGAGTTTTGATGATGTTTAAGAGTGTTGCTGTAGTTTTTTCATATTTATAAGTAATACATCAAATCTTTGTTCCCTGTTTGTGCATGTTGTAGTCAAAGAAAATGAGCTTATATCAGTCAGACATGCACAACAGAAAAGAAAAAGCAGAAAAAAAAAACAGTAAAATATGACTATGGGGTGAATATGTATATGTTGTGGTCATGATGTGGTCATCTAGTAAAACTAGTCAAATTCATTGACTATAGGAGAGTGACAGAACATGCTTTGTGAAATTAAATGGATACTTGGTATTATTGTTAGGTAGTGTTAAATTTAAATTCATACTTCGAATGCTTGTTAAGTTCCCATTGTCATTCAAATAAACATAGGCAAAAAAATAGACCTAACTAACAAATTACAAACATATACTTTATCTGAGGAAAGGACTAACATAACACCTTTATAACTTTTAGGCAAACTAAATATCCAGATTCCGTCGTTATCAACACCTAATTCTAAATTATTTATTCAGATATTACCATATTTTATTTACGATCCCATTTAGATAGCTCAATCATCTCAATTTTTTCAAGGAATTATTATGTTATATATGCACATTTCTCTCTTTGTATCCTTGGGCCACATCACATACCTTTCTCCCTTTCTCTTTCATTGTTCCACAAATAATAACACATCTTTTGAAAAAATGTTTATAGCACCACAACTCACCGAAAGACTGGGAATAAAATTCACAGATAATCACAATTGAGAGTGTATTACATCATCAGTGAGTTACAATACTATGCAAATTCACCAACCTCAGACTCGGTAAATAACAGAATCTTCGGAGGAGCGAATGGTGACAGAATTAGTGGAATGAAAAACTATTAGCCGGATAGGTTAGTGAAAACCGACTTCCATTCATTAATAAAAAGAAAACCTGTACTAAATCTTGTACCATTACTTCAGTTAGAAAAAAGCTGAATCAATTCTCAATTCCAATAAGTTACTACTCTGTCTGAGTATGCTGCATCATGTATATAAACCACAGAAATGCAAGTAAGCATTGGACTTGCCACATCATCTTGTCTTGTGAAACCGGTCTCATAGCATTTCCAAGATACACAACCAATACTGCATTGCTTGGGAGTTGGGAGGAGGACCAAGATGAGAGTATCTTACAACATCTTTGACCAGTATAGCACCCCACTTCAGTGAGGAACTTCTATTGGTACAAAAAAGGGGTGCTCTATTTTGGCTTTTGGATCAGTAACATAATGACTGAGGCCAAGCACCCACTTAAATGGAATGGTCCAACCCAACAACCATTCACCGTATTGTTGAATCAGTAACATATACACATGCCTTTTAACCCTTTGTTCTTCTTGTTCCTGCTATGTTCTCAGAAGTGGGTTTTTTCTTTTAACCCTTTGAAGTGTGTGTGGATATGGATATTGGGCAAAGATGAAAGTTGTAAACAGTAATAGTAAACAGTAACAGTTCTAGGATCAACTATTAATGAACACAAAATAATGTCTCGAAAACCAGAAATTAAGATAAAATAATAACGTTGGAGGGTGGGGTGGATCTGCTATGTTTTTTCCCACTACATCCTCACACTCACACATAAAAGTTATTTCTTATAAAAAAGTTATTTCTTATTAAAATTGAATTAATTTTAACAATTAGATCTTTAACCTTCATCTGTTTGTTACCATGACTTTTTTAGTTTTGTTAAACCAGCTTCAAGATTAATTTTGTTTATTTATAATATTGCTAAAATATTGATTTGATGTAGGAATCATATGAAAATGCTATGATTGAAAAATATGGGGAAGATACATCAAATCATCCTATAGTTGATTCTGATATTTGGATAAAGACTGCTGGTGAAAATAAAAAAGGTAGAATTTATGGTATAGGTCAGAGTTTGGATCTTGGTATTTCACATGTTTCATCTTCATCGAGTTGAAGGTCCCTCTTCCCAAAATCTTACCACACCTCTTATCGAAGAAATCACTACCTTAGCTACACGAGATATCTAGTTTGCAAGAGCGAGATGAAAACACAGATTGCGAGCACAAGCCGATATGCAAGCATTGATGCAAGCACAAATGAAGACACAAGCGTAAATGCAAACACTCATGCAACAACAAATGCAAGAAGAAATGCAGATCTTTCAAGAAAGATTTATTATCTACCTTAAAGAAACAATGATGAAAACGTACTTTAAACTTTGTTTCTATTTGTAATTGTGTTATACTGGAACTTTTTAGTTGAAATATTATTTTTGTTATGTTTTAATTGTTTGAAACATCATTTTAACTATGTTTAAACAATACTTTTATATTGAAAGTTGATAAGTTTGTCTTCTTTTTTAAGAATGAGTAATAATTTAAATCTTAAATATTTGATATTATAAATTTTGATAAAAATTATGAGGGATAGCTATGAAATAGTGAGAAAAACATTATAAAAGATTAACTACGGATTAACGAAGAAATAATTGTGAGGCATTAATCACTAGCTAGAGATAAATTGTTAGGGATTAGCTACGGATTAGCGAGAGAAAAATTGCGAGGGATTAGCTACGGATTAGCGAGAGCAAAATTGCGAGGGATTAGCTACAGATTAGCGAGAGAAAAATTGCGAGGGATTAGCTACGGATTAGCGAGAGAAAAATTGCGAGGATTAGCTACGGATTAGCGAGAGAAAAATTGCGAGGATTAGCTACGGATTAGCGAGAGCAAAATTGCGAGGGATTAGCTACGGATTAGCGAGAGAAAAATTGCGAGGGATTAGCTACGGATTAGCGAGAGAAAAATTGCGAGGATTAGCTACAAGTTTTGGGAGATCAAATTAGCTACCGCTAAACAAAATTTCATCATTTAAATTAGCAAGGGATTTAGCGACGGTTTAGCGACAAAATTTGCTACAAATTTGAGAGAGAATATATCCGTATCTAATTAGCTACTTGGATTTAGCTACGGACTATTCCATAGCTATTCCGTAGCTAATCTGTAGCAAAACATACCAGCGAGAGATTAGCTACAAAATAGCTACGGATTGTGTCATAGCTAATATGTAAAATTCTTGTAGTGTTGGTAGTTAGAAATTTACTTATGTGGGTTGAAACAACCAAACTAGTGTCTAGAAAGGAGATTAACAATTCAAGGTGTTAACATAATCCTTAGAATTGATTGAATAAGTTGCGCTTGAATTATATAATATATTTAAAATTTTACATTTAATAAAATACATATCTTGAATTAGATCATTTTGAGTGACTTTAGTTTTAATCATAATGTAAACTCTCCTTGTTGTTATAAGTCTTATTTTGGATGCATAAGGATTAAAATGTGGTTTTTAGTGTTCAATTAAGAGAATACATGACCAGGTTTTGCACACTTAAAACAAAAAAATTCTTTAAGATGATAATCTTTAGCGGAATGATCTTGTTCACATTTAAGACACCTAATATGATTATTTACAAGTCCAATAAAATTTTTGAAGAAAATTGGCTAGGTTAAGGTTTTCATTGGGATGGTTGTAGGATTTGCCCTTCTTTTGTCTCCTTTTATTTGTTGGGTTCAAAATATTTTGATTTATTATTTGAATTGTTTTCAAAATTCTCTAGAAATCTACACTTGTGAACAAACATAGGGAAATAAAACAATTTTAATATTTTCACTATTTTCTCAATTTAGGCCTAAGTCTATTATCAAATTTTATACACTTCATCATCTCATCTAAATGATAAAAGAAAGTAGAATATTTCCTTGATTCTTCCAACTTAGAAGCATATATATTCTCCTATTGTCATACTCCCTTATCTTAACATAAACTCAATTTCTTTTGCTATCCTCACATCAATGAGAAAATATTTTTCTAAAATTTTGTTCTAAATAGTTCATAGATAATGATTATTCTTCCTTTTTTTAGCAGTCTCTTAATATTATCACATCAATATTCAACCTCTCTTATCAACATAAATACATCATAATTTACCCCTGTGGTTCTTAGAACAATTCATATCTCAAATATTTCCATTATTTCCTTAATCCACTATTCAAAAATTTCTAGGTTATAACCTTTGGAGAATTGTGAAAGTTTGTTTATCCTAAATTCAACTTTGGTTCAGTGGTTCCTTTGCATCTTTGATTACTTACTAATGTGACAATCATGTCTTTGATAGTTTTTGTATTGGTTTTGTCAACTTATTGTTCCTCCTATTATTTTTCTCTTTTTTTATATAGTTTAATTATTAATTTAATTATATTTTAAGAGGTGATTATTTTTCTACTAAATCATGATAAAAATAAGATATGAGATAAGAAGGTAATATATATATATATATATATATATATAAATTTATAATTTTATGTTGCTTTCATATCATAAAACAAATGTTTAATTGACAGACATATTTTTTTAAAAACAACTGAATTATCAATTATATTTATTATGATAGGCATATTTGTATTTAAAAACAACTAAATCATCAATATGTTCCATTTTATTTTATATTAGGAAAATTTAAATTAGTTTTGTAACGTCCAATATGGATAAATGAGTTTTTGTAATGGTTAACAAAGTAAAACAAGATTATTTAATCTTGAGTGATATATATTTACTCAATTGAATCCCAAGATCAAACCTCCAATTATAATATCATCAAATCTTTATTTATCAAAAAATATTATTTAGAAAAAATTTAAAGATAAATTAAATAATATAAATAAGTAAACAAAAATAACGTATAACTTAAAATGTATTAAATAATATAAATATAAATAAAAAAATAATGTATAATTAGAAATCAATTAAATAATAACAATATAAATAAAATAAAATTAGGATACTTCACTCAATAATTATATTTATAAAATAAATAAGATAATAAATATGTCATTCATTATCTCATTACTTACATTTGATACACGTTCAAGAGTTCTTATAACTTTTTTTTTCCTTTTTCCTTTTTCTTTCTTTCTTTTTTTCTATAAAGTTATTTTATTACATTATATTTACCTTTTTCTTTGTCACTTTTTCACTTTTATATTATTTTTTTCAGTTTTATCTTACAAAAAAAATTGTATTTTATCTTTTAGTTTTCACATTTTTATTGTTGTAAGTAAAAATTTTCTATTGCTTTATTAACATATTATTATTTATATTAATTGTTATTAGCTAATTGTTTTAATATTTTATGATATTTAATTTTGATACTAAAATATTAAAAATTAAAAAATTAGGTAAATTATAAAAATATTTAAGAAAATAATTATAAACACATTTTTAAGAAAAAATATATAATAAAATAAAATTTAAATTCAACTAGTTATACTAAAAATATTATTTAACAATTTATAATATAAATTATATAATAATAATTTTTATAATATAAAATATCATTAAATATAACTAAAATATATTTAATATGATACATATTTATTCTATTTCTTGATTAATATTGTTGAAAATGTAAGGATATGATGTCAAAAGATTTTGATGATGATTCAAGAATAAAAGACTTCAATATTAAAAGACTTATACTTCATTTGTAATTATTTGTAATAACTCTGTTTAGTCAACCTGAGTCTCTAAAAATGAAGTCCAAAATAGGTAGCACTTAGTCTGTGCACAAAAGGTTCATGTTTTATCAAAATTACATTGTGGTAATCGATTATCACTTAGGATAATCAATTATCTAATTAAAAATCTAATTTGTGAAACTGGCTCTGGAGTAATCGATTATCACTTAGGATAATTGATTATCCTGAATCTTGGATTTCTGAAATTGACTCTGGAATAATCGATTATCTCCCATGATAATTGATTATCCTAGTCAAACTTTTGTTTTCTGATAATTGGCTCTATGATAATTGATTATCACTTAGGATAATCGATTATCACTTAGGATAATCGATTATTTATGACAATTATGAATTTGAAATTCAAATTTTAACCTAATTTTCAAAAACCCTAAACCCAACACCTTAAAAATTGAAAGTGATGAAGATCTTATTGAAATACTCTGACAAAGATCATGTTGATTTGATGAAGTCAAAGATAAAGTCAAAGTCAACTTTGTAGCGGTCAACAGTCACTTAGATAAAAGAATAGAGAGATTAGTGTGTCCGCAGCTATGCTTAGGTATAATCATTTTTATCTTTTCTGCTGCATGTGGTTTCTTCACCTAAAAGATTTTGCAAAAT